GTTCATGGTGCAGTGTCAGAAAACATTACTGTCCACCAAACTTGACCGTCCACAGGACTGAGAATGTCGACCCATGGGATCGTTGGATACTTTTGGCAGATTCCCAGAGTATGAGTCCAGTGGAGCTGCGTCTACATTGCAAGGCAATAGGCCTTGAACCCTGGGTACCGGCTTGACTGAGGCGCTCAGACCCTCCACCCCGTGGGAGCCTGAGTTTGAACCCTGGGCTTACGCTGGGTGCGTCTACACTGCAGTGAAATACCCGTGGCCGGCCCACGTCAGCTGACTCAAGCTCACGGGGCTCGAGCTGCAGGGCTGTAAAATTGTGGTGTAGATGTTCGGGTGTGGGCTGAAGTCTGAGCGCTGGGACCCTGCGAGAGGGGAGGGGACGCGAGTATGTAGCCAGAGTTCTGGATGGGCTTGTACAGCCCACGCTGCCCCATCTTCACTGCTATCACACGGGCAGGCCGACCCGCACGGCAGCCGCACCGCCGATGGCTGTGTAGACACACTCTACCGTTCTAGCCCTGGCGGCTGCGGCTCGAAAACGTGACCCCTGCGAGGTTCAAAAGCGAAGAAGGCAAATAAAAGACTCCTGGGGCATTTTAAAAAACCTCCTCATTTTTAAGCCAGTCTCCTGAGTTTCCAGGACTTATCTCAGGAGTTCTGGTGGCCATGGTGGTTTCTCCTTCTGTAAAATGGGGCTAATAAAACTCCCTTTCTCCCACCCTTTGCCTGTTTAAGCTCTCAGTAGAGGGGTTTTCTCTTAGGAGGTGTGGGCCCATCACTGCAGAGTTAACGCGAGCGATAGCCTCGCTCAAGTGAGAGCATCCACACTGCAAAGTAACACTAGCTACACAGAGTGGTCATGTTAGCTGCGGATGAGTTATGCTTACTCCCACTGTCGCCTGTATCCCCCGGCGGGCCAGCCATCTTGAGCTAGAAGCAGCCCTGACCTCGGGTTAAGGGGCTTTGCGTGTGGACGGGATCGAATTGGGGCAACACTCGAGTTAATTGTGCCCGGTTTAACTTCCAGTTCAAACAGGAATTAGCCCGGGGACGTTCTCTGGCCAGTGCTGTGGAGGGGTTCAGACAGGATGACTAGAGAGGTCCCTTCTAGCCTTATGATCTGTGAGTGTTTGCCGCCTTGTTTGTACAGCGCCTGGCACGATGGGGTCCTGGTCTGGCTGTGGCCTCCATGTGCTGTTTTATACAGATAACAAGAATGGTTATCTGTGATCTATTGAGTTATCCTGGCCAAAGTGGAGTAACAGAGAGAGGCGAGCCAAGCTAGGGAGTTATAAAATCCTCAACTCGATCCATGGTCCAGTTGTCAGGTCATTAGCCTAGAACCTGTGAGACCTGGATTCTGCTTCCTTTGTGGCTTAGGGCAAGACGCTTTGCCTCTTGGTGCCTCAATCCCCATCTGTCCAGCGGGGATTACAGCACTGCCCTGACTTATAAGGGTGCTGTGAGGATGAATACATTAAAGATGGTCAAATGCTTGGAGATCTACCGAAAAGCGCCCTATAAGAGCTAGGTATTTATTTCTATTGCAGGAATGCCTAGGAGCTGCCATCATGGACCCGGGGTGCTAGGCGCTGTACAAACACAGTCTCTGCCCCAATGATCTTACGCTCTTTAAACGTCCAGTGAATTGCTTTTGTCCGAAGCTACATTTTCTTCTACCCTTTGCAGCCCCGACACTGTCACCAGAATTTATCAGATTCTGTAGCTGACAAATTTCAGCCTTTTAAATCTTCCCGCAATAAATGGTTTTTGTCGTCGGGCCAGCTCTGTCAACGGCCGCCTTGTTTTCCTGGTTATGATTCAACCCTCTGTAGAGATGGGAGGGGAAAATGGGGTTTGCCGATAAGTTGTTTGGTGATTAAAAAGGCAAAATTGAGACAAACACTGGAGACTCCTCTGACCGCAGGTGCTTAGGGGAAGACAGAGGGCGAGCACCGGTTAACGCTATCCAGTGTAATTCCACTGCTTTGCTTTCCGTTGAAAAATGAAACTCTCAGTAATGTTAGCACTTTATCTTTCCCTAAACACCTACTGGCAGAGGATGGCCAAGTGCTTTGTAGCTAATGGATTAGCTCACAGCTCCCCTGTGCGGTAGATATCGCTATTGACTGGTAGGTAAACTGAGGCTCAGCGCAGTGACGTGACTTGTCCAAGGTCACGTAAGCAGCCAGGAATCCATGCTGTGTATCTTGACGCCCAGTTGCCTGCTCGACTCACTTGACCACACTCCCCCTCCCAGAGTAAGAGAAGAACCCAGGTGTCCCGACGCCGGTTCTTCTACTCTGACCACTAGATCGCACTCCGCTCCCCGAGCTGAGGCTAGAACTCTCAATCGTATGATGTAACCACCAGCAAACCCTCACCTCACACAGAAAAATTGCAGCGGGGGATTGCCCTTGTTCTGACACATCACCCTCTGCCCAGCCTGCCCCTTCCCCTTTCTCCCACCAGCTCCAAAACTTTCCTCCTCCTGCAAGCTCTCGGTTCCACTGAGCTCCAGCAGCCAGACGTCGCTGAGCAGCCCAGACCAGAGTGGCCCTTTTCCAAACCGGGATGGTATTTTTGTCCTTTTTTTTTATAAGCAGCAGGAGATGCTGTTGTCCCGGTGGCAGCGCTGTGTGAAGGGTAAGTATGGTGAGGTGCAAAGCCTTGAAATAAGTGGCCCGCAGGATGCAGTGACCGAGGGTCCCGATGCTGCAAAGGCATCCGCGCAGACAGATCCACCCGCAGGGGGTCAGCAGACAGAAGGGTCTGCCTGCCTGGGATCCCTTTGGCAGATGATAGCTTAAGTGACACCGGTTCATCAATTTACACAATCCACTCCCAAATGTCTGCACCTCTGCTCCAACATGCTCCACCCCAGGGCATGAGAGGAGAGATTCCTGATCTTCAGAAAGGGCCACGCCCCTGAGCTGCTCTGAAAATCCCGGCCATTGAAGGTGCTTCGGTTGGGCCTCCAGAAATGGAAACGCCCCAAATCACTAGCCACTTAAAAAAAAAAAAATCTTGTGCTGCCGGCCCAATGGACTAGAGCGTCCACTCTCAGAGCCCTGGGCATTGGCAGAGAGCGTGTGGCACGTGGACAGGACACTTGCAGCTCCCTTTGCCGCCTGATTCAGCCAGGCCTTCAGCACGTGCTTAGATCCCATCAGCTTCAAGGGGCCTGGGTGAACTTGGAGGGCCAGCGAAAAGGGGTAGGCACCACAGAAGCCCTCAAAATAGAACTTATATGGTGCCTAGGCCTTGTGCTCTCTCCCTTATGGATTCACTTCCTGCGGGCAACGTGGCAGGAATAGATCTTGGGGAAGAATCTGAATGAGGACGGAGCGGGGTGGCTTGGCAGTCCAGAGCTAGGCGGCTGCTCCGTGCCGTGGGAGTGATGGGGAAGAGGTCACGGAGGTAGCTGTAGGAGAAATTGGGCATCGTGGCTGGAGTGGAGGGGGCAGGGGGCGATGCTCCCCTAAGAGGATTTAAGGAGTTGGATGGGGGGTCTCTCCCTTGGGGACTTTGCTTGGCAAAATGGCAACATGGACAGCCATATCCTCAGGGGGTGTAAATCGGCATTGGTCCATTGACTGCAATGGAGCCATGCCAGTTATACCAGTTGAGTTTCTGGCCCATGAAACATCTATCTGATGGTCTCCATACCCTCCCTCCTGTCTGTCTGTCGGTCTCCGTACACTCCCGTCTGTCTGTCTAACTCCTCCAGCCATGGGTGGGTTCCACCAGTTAAACGCAGGCGATGGGGTCCTTTCCACCCCTCTCTCTCTCCCACACTCACAGCCCCATTTGAATTTTAGGGCGATATAAATAATCATCTGCCCATCAGAGGAGCTCTCCAGCTCCAGATCCCACCCACAGCCTTTAGGCAGTCGCTCGCCTTCCTGTTTCGCGGGGGTTTGTGTCGTACCGATCAGCCCTCTGCAGGGTTAGCAAGGCGTGCTTAGTGCGATGGTGAAAACAGGCCCTTGCGTGAAGCCAAGGAAATGAGCAACAACAAAACCCGGGTGGGTTGGTTTGAATCCGGCGTGAGTCCGCGGGTGGGGGCGGGTTTGGGGGGCTGAGCTCAGGCTGTGTCGTACGATCACCAGATGGGCAAGATCGGTGCCCTCTGCTTCGTATCCGGAGCCTGATTCGCCTTGCGTTTACACCAGCGTCCGTCCTTTGGCTTCCATGAGTTACAGCGGGTTTGCAACGGAGGAAGGGCCCCATTGAGAGCCAACAAAAGGACTCCCCTTGGTTTCAGTGAGCTTTGGCTCAGACCATATATGAGATCAGAATCGGGCCTCGGTGGGGGGGTGGTGCAGGGGCAGAGCATTGTGGGCACTCGGGGGAAGAGCAAGGCCGCCGTAGGTCAAGATCGCAGTGCAAGAAGGCAGTGGGGTGCAGTGGGTAGAGCAGAGGGGGCTGGGAGCCAGAACTCCTGGCTTCTATCCCCAGTGCTGGGGGGGGGAGTGGGGTCTAGTGGGTAGAGCAGAGGGGGGCTGGGAGCCAGAACTCCTGGCTTCTATCCCCAGTGCTGGGGGGGGGGAGTGGGGTCTAGTGGGTAGAGCAGAGGGGGCTGGGAGCCAGAACTCCTGGCTTCTATCCCCAGTGCTGGGGGGGGGGAGTGGGGTCTAGTGGGTAGAGCGGGGGGGCTGGGAGGCGGGAGCTTTACCTGTGAACTCTGAACTCTCCCAACGATTTGCACCAAAGGAGCCGGTCCTCTGCCTTTCTTTTGGTTCTCTCCCTCCACCTCCCTTTGCTCCCAGGACAAGCCGGCGGGGTGGGGCCTTTGGAGGGGGGGGGCTGATCTTTGCCTGGATAACATAACCAGGCATTTTGCTCTCAGATTCCCCGGGGGGGGGGGGTGTCTCTCTTGTACTTGGCTCCTTTGAGACTGGTTGGGCTGGCCCTGGGGGCTGTGGAGGGAAAGCCCATGCTGCCCCCTCCCATTGCACGCTGCTCAGCAGCCGAACTCTGTCTTCCAGGTTGGAGAAGGAGCTGGAGATTCTGGAGAACGGGGACTCGGCGCCTCCCACCAAGGAGAAGCTGGGGAAGGAGGTTGCGGTGACAGCAAAGGAGGAGAAAGCAGCAAACACACAGAAGGTCAGGAGGAGGGGAAAGCTTAGCCCTGGCTGGCCTCAAAACCTTCCCTTAAAGAGGGCAGTTCCATTAACCCCCTAGAGAACCGCGGAGCCCAGAATAGCAACGGTATCTCCATGCAGGGGCCCACCCACTGCACAGGTTGGCATAGAGTGGCTGGGCGGTTAAAGGGATACCCCGGGAAAGCATCTCTGACCGTTCCCTTGAGACAGCTGGGACAGAGCCAGCTGCCTCCGTTTACCCTCCGCCACCCTTACCCAAGTCAGGGGTTCCGCTGCTGTAATGCACCGAATGGCCTCGAGTCCCGGGGTTCGGGGTCACGGGCCTGGAATCGGTTCATCTGTCGTCGCGTCGTACGTGCGTGTAACGGCAGGTGCCCGAGCTGCAGTCAGACATGTGCACGTACATGAGGCCCCGGTTTCCCGGCTGCCTTGCACCGTCGTGTGCCGCCTGGGGGTCAAATACCACCAGATCGGAGTGGCAGCATTGGGTATCCACTCGGTGCGGGTGTCGGGGGCGGTTCTGCTCAGGAGTATTTTGCACGTGCACCGGTGCAAGCCGTGACATGAAAGCAGGCAGGGGCGACTCGGGGATAGGGTATGCAATACTGCGTGGCTTTATTAACAGGTGAGATCGAAACAGGCGGCAACCAGTGCCTCTTCCCCTGAAAATAACACTAGGGTTACCATATTTCAACACTGAAAAAAGAGGACACTCCATGGGGGCCCCGGCCCCGCCCCAACCCCTCCCCTTCCCCACCCCCATTCCAACCCCTTCCCCAAAGTCCCTGCCCCAACTCTGCCCCCTCCTCTGAGCACCCCGCATGCCCCCTCC